CCGCCAAATGTAAAGTGTAGCATAAAAAATAAAAGTTGCTCTTCTCCGAGGGGGACATTTTATGGTGAAATTGGCTCTGACCTTGGGCGTGATTTTCAAAGTCATTTCAAGATCATCTTTAGTTTTAGGAAACACTTTATTTTGACCTCGGATTCGAGTATAGCGGAAAATTCTACCAGTAACACTCGAATCTGAGGTCAAAACTAAGTGTTTCCTGTAAAGAAAATAAAGTTGACCTTGAAATGACTTTCAAAATCACGCCCAAGATCAGAGCCAAGGTCACCATAACATGTTCCTCTCGGAGTCGAGCAAGTTCCATTTGAAATATTTTTTGCTAAACCTTCCCACTAAACACGAAACGTAAATGAAACGTTGCAAATGAGATGTTTTACTAAATATTTGAAACATTAAGTAGAAACGTTTCTGTTTCATCACAGAAATGTAGCACTTGAAAACTTATTTAGTGAAACATAGCCGAAACGTTACAATTGAAGAGAGTTTGAAACATTACTCGAAACATTACCTTTCGATCTCGGAAACATAACAGACGAACAACCCTTTGCTATTTTTGCTTATCTTATGGAACAATCGGCATTAGTTAAATTTTGCTCTCAATCCCCAATCCTTCTCAAGCGTTAGTTCATTTGCCTTTGTTATATAAAGACATAATTAGAAAAAAAAATGTGGTAGCATATTTATAACACAAGTCTAGAAAAAATGTATGTTCGTGACTTGCGTAGACTGCGCGTAACAGCCCGAGTTTATTTGTTTCCCGTGTGTCGTTTCAATTCGTATTATGTTAGGTTAGGTTTGCGGTTTGTCAGTTTGCTTGGTTTCGTTGTTATTCATCTTTACTTTGACGCTATTTTATGTGATAATTTGTAGTGTGTGCAGTTGTGGTTATTGTAAGGTGCATATAAAATAATGAATATTGATGCAAAATGTTTAAAACGATATGTGTAAAGAGATTTCCAATTTTGCGTCACATCTACCTAAATATAGTTATACCCACTACCTATTACAGACAAGAGGACAAGGGACAAGAACTAAGAAAATGGAACAACAACTATACGTTTCGATATAATTTGAAGAGCAACTACTTAGTCAGTGAGAACTATTTGAAATATGGATGAATCAAGTGAAATAGACGTCATTTATTTTATATTTTGTACAAATGTTTATATTTGTTTATGTGTATAGGCATGCTTAAATAAAAGAGTTTAGGTATACCTACAGATATTTACTTTGTCAAGATATCATTTTGTATCCTTATTTCTGCTGTATAATTTATTATTATTAAAAGGATATATGTAATATTGACCATGCGTAGAAGAAATTATAACTTTATATTATTTTTCAGTAATGTTATTTGTTTTTCATGTACCTACCATTTTAAGATTCATAATCATAACTAACTTTTTCTAATTATCAGTTCGTCATTGTTACCATATTCATGAAGGTCTCAACATTAGAAAATTTCCATTTCAGAAGCGTATTTGAACAATATAAAATGTGTAGCTTTTTTTTAATGCTTCTGATATTGTTTTGTGATATTTTTATTTGTACGATGAATGGCAAAATTCATAATCCATATTAGAAACTTTTTTCAGTGGCTTCTCAAAAAGAAAGAAATTCTTAGTAAAAGTTGCCGCATCCCCAAACTAGAAGAGCATATTTATTTTTTTTAATATACAATGTAACTTTTTTTAGTTCGAATTAAGTCATTCACAATACAAATAAAAATATCACAAAGGAGTATTAGAGATATTTAAAAAAATACTCACACTATTTATACTATTTCAAAAACGCTTTTGAAATGAAAATGATCTAAAGTTGAGAGCATTATGAGAACAATATGGTAATAAAATTATTATGTTACTCAAACATTTCTGAAAATATACTGAAACGTAAAACAAAAATATCGAGGGCATAAATGGAACATAAAAAGAATGTTACTGAAACCAATTTTTTGAAACGTTTCATTGGAAACGTATTTTGGGGAGGACATATTGGGCTTCTAGAACGTTACCAGAAGGTTGCATGGATTTTTTATGAAACGTTTCAAGAAAAATGGAAACGTTTCTGAAACATGTCAGAAACTGAAAAATGTTTAGTGGGTTACCTTTGGCGGAACATTTGGATGTTAGGATTGAGGAAACAATAAAATTGCATGACCTTCATATGACCTTGGGTGATCAACTGACCCCACATATAATACATCATCTGAACGTAGAATTTCCCACTCACACAAAAATAATGTTGACGTTGAAATGACCTTGAAAATGACCTTTAAGGTGATAGACAACGTCACCATAACATCTCCCCCTACGAGTCCCGTAACTTTTGTCTGAAACATTCTTTGCTAAACTTTACCTGGGTAGAGATATCGGGATGGAGGGATTAAAATGGCCTACCCTGTATATATAATTATTGATCAATAATAATTATATACGATCTCACTTAAAATTTAAAAGGAACAACAATTATAAGGCTATTATTTATTGTATTAATATTTGAACTTTGAACGCATCTCAAAATGACCTAATTATACAGTGTATTCCAGAAATGTGCGTAAAAAGTTTAAGGGAAGATAGAACATGTCTTATCAAAAAAAAATGTTATTTTAAAAATTTATACTGTGGTAAACTGCCTAGGAGTAACTTACTGCGAGTGACTGGGACTCTTCGAAGGTCACTTGAACTTGAACACTGAACTCAAAAATGAATTAAACTGAATTTTGGAATTGCAACTGAACAGCAACTCTGTTAAAGAATGTACGGAACTGGACTGAACTGAGTTCAGGAACTGAACTGACGAGAACGCAGCAATACTTTTTGCAGGAAAAATGATCTGGGGTGGTACGGGGTCGAGAGGAATCATCGATACCTTTAGGCCTGGGCGCCTTTCTTCGTTCGATCGGTTCGTGAGGTCTCCTCTTGTCCTGGCTAAGTCCCACCGGTTGGGACCGTTTCTTCTGGCGCTCTTCTTCATCGGCTTGTCTATGTAAACCCCCCGGAGGTGTCGTGTGTTGGTCTTAGGCAACCTGCTGCCGCCGTTCGTGACCTGGTTGGTGGGTTAGGGTGAGGTCGTGCAGCTGTGAAGTTTAGGACACCCAGTGCTAAGGTGACCCTTAGGCTGGCATCTGCCTGCTTCTACGGAAGAACTCCACAACTTGACCGACAGGCTAGCCAAAGTCGAGCATCTTTACAAAAAATTCATTAGTTGAATTGAATGTAACGTGCTACGGTCGTAGTTCTGTGAACGAAGCATTAGCCAGCACTAGCTCTATCTCCCTCGTACACGTCTGTGCGATTGGCAAAATCACATTGGGCCCGTCCAGAAGTTTAATTTATAAGGTCTATGGTGTTGCCCATGGCTGTGCAACTAGCATTGCCAGATTCGCATTGCCAGGGAGGGGATGGAGCTTGTCCAGACACACGAAGAACGGGGTGAGGAAAAGGAAGTAACTTTAAGTTTGTTACGTTTGCTACAAGTTTTTTCACTATGTAAAATCTAGTGACTTTTACTAACTATTCCACATTGAAATTCACGACTCACGTTTGTTTAGCATGACATGACGTTTTTCTTGATTATATTATGTATTTGTAGTAAGTATGAGAAAAATATTGGAAGTTTGGCAAAAAGGTAAGTAAATATTAAATTGAGCAAGTTTTCCTATTAAATATAGAGAAATGTGTTATGTTTGTTTACACACAAAAGAAAAATATGTATTATTTATTTATGATGTCTAAACATTCATATTGTTAAAAGATCCGTCAACTTTCCATTTTGTTTGTGTGTTTAGAAAACAGGTTTAATAGAAAATATAAAGTTTGTGAATAGAATTGTTTGTTTGTATGCAACATTAATAACCTGCTCGCTATTATTCCATAGCTAGAAATTGGCCTCAATGATTGGGATCCAGGGTGATTATCCTCTTTATAACATTAATAACCACATTAAAATTGCTAATAAATACTCTTTTATAAATTTTGCAGTTTCTTTTTTAAGTTTATTTAAATGAGTAAAATACGATATTACCATTATAAATCGTTATATCGTATATATTTTTAAATATTAAAAAGAAGCAGTATTAGGGTCGTATGACACTATGCTAAAATTATAACTAATTTCAGTAATTAGTATCATACAGAAACTGCTACATTTTTGTTGCAATTTGTCTATATGACGCTATGCCAGATTAAAAAATTCTTAATTAATTACTGAAATTAGTTCTAATTTTAGTATAGTGTCATATACGACCCTTAGAATGTATTATCAAAAGCCCGCGCAAATTGGCATCTGTTTTACCTGCGGTAGATTATAAAGTAATCATCATTATCGTCTCGGCTATCTTTAGTTCAATTTTTTTGGGCGGTCAGACTAGATATGTGGTCAGACACAGTAAGGGAGCCAGTTGTTGTTCTTTAATGTCAGTGGTGTTTCGATTTTGGTATTATTATGAAAACCACAGGGTTGCCGTTTTGCCAGTAATTACTGGCATTTGCCAGGAATAAAGAGTCCTGCCAGTAAATTTGCCAGGATTGACTTAACGTCAGAAATTTGCCAGGGGAGCAACATTTTCAGGGATGTCGATTTGCAAATAACCCCCAACATTTGCATTATTGCATTTGTTATTAAAAGATAAGCATCACAGAGCACAGAGATTACTTTAATCAGTTTTAAGAATTTCGATTCACGATATCACCGCTAGATGACGATGTATCATGCTTCTTTACTATTATATTTTGTCACACTTGGCACTCGGCAGCGATCCTTGTTTAATGTTTAATATTACAGGTTACAGAGTGATAGTTATTTATACACTGACGGGATACGACGGTTAAGACAAAGGTAATAATCACCAAAATAATAGATTAAACTATTAAATTGCCAGGAATTGCAAGTAATAATATAATTAATTTTTGCCAGGAAATGTCAGGAATGCAATCAAGTTTCGTCAGTAATTTCGTGTCGACCTAGTGGCAACCCTGGAAAACCATGCCAGTGCTGCCACAGAGTACAGAGTTAGCGTATTATATGTTTTGTGGTTAGCGTTGTTGTTTGATTTTTCATTACTAAATAAATAAATATTAATTTGATATCAACATTAATTAGTAAATTTAAGCGCTTACAACAGTATAAAGAGAAGAACAACAAATAATTTGAAGAAACTCTAATAACGGCTGTTAGAATTTTTGAAAAGGGGATACTATTTAACACAATATAATGTCAACGATAACCTCTCCATCAGTAGAATTAAGTTCATACAGAGACCAGCATTTTAAGGTATTTATATATTTATATTTAATAATAGTATTTGTAACAATATCTTTATTTAGGGTACAAGAGCGGAACAGGATAAATTACTTAGGTTATCTTGTACACTCTATGTTGGAAATTTGTCATTTTATACTACAGAAGAACAAATATATGAATTATTTTCTAAGTGTGGTGATATTAGAAGAATTATAATGGGTCTAGATAAGTACAAGAAGACACCATGCGGTTTTTGTTTTGTAGAGTACTACACCAGACCAGATGCAGAAAATTGTTTGCGGTAAGTAAAGTAGGTCAAGTTCGTTAAACTCACTTTTATTTTTGAGATTGGAAATGGTAATTGCAACAGTTTTAAAAAATGTCGGTGAATAATTTAATATTTATTACTGCATTGTTTAGGCAATCGTCTGTCTGAATGAACATTTTGATATAAAAACAGCATGATAGTTCAAGTCAATTTCTTGTATTCATAAATACAAAAGATGATGCAAAATATTTATAAATTTAGTGTTATCGATAAGGGGTGAACGAATAAGACAGTACTTAATATTTATAATTATTCTTTACTGAATATAAATATTTACATTTAAAACAATTTTATTTATAATTTACTAAATAATGTAACTTACGTAACTGTGAGTTATGGAACAATGATATCATAATGTGAAGTGTATCTAATGGAGGGTGTTGTTAAGCTATCTATTCACTGGATTTCTAATTAAGTTAGATGATAGTCAAATATATGCCCTATAAACAAGTTGCTTTACGTTTTACCAACTTCTGACAATATTATCATTTTTCATATACTTAGCCATCATTTTGCCTTCTGGCAATTGATATCCAGATATTTTAAGCAATAACTGATATGAAAATAAAACCACCAGAACTGCACCTTGTCATTAAAATTTGAACAATTTTTTTACAACTTTATAGATTTCTGGCAGCACTTATTCCAAGACCTAGACTTCTGGTAATAATTTTATGCGATTTCTACAGTTAGAAACTATAACTACACAAAATTTCAGAGTTGGAAGATTTTATTTTGATTAAAAATAAACTCATTTGACTGTTCCTCCACGCTTCCTTCCCTTAGACTGACTTCTGGCTGCAGCGCAATGCACTTGTCATCTAGTAAGGAGGGTTTTTATATCAAAATTTTCACTGCACCTTATCATTTTTAATTTTCATAGCCAACTCTTAGACCATCTTAGTTGATTGAAATTTTTCAGGAGACTATTGCCCTGTGGCGCCACGTGAACATTGATTGAATGTGTTCTGCTTAGAGATTTGTTGAATTGAATTCCGAGATATTAAGTGCCCGGTGAGTCTCTAAATGGCGCTGCAGGTGAAAAATTTTAAAATCTTCACGGTCACTTGTTTTCCTGGCACTTCTGAATTTCAAGGAACAATCCATTTATACAAAATATAGATTTTTACAAGAACGATTTTTGAAATTAATACCTTTTTGAAATATCTATTTATGAATTACCTACTGACGGTATAAATAAATTGGAATAAACTAAATATATTTTATTAAATTATCGAATATTGTTTATAAACAAAATTCAACGAATTATAATTTTCCTCGCCGTGTTATGATTTTTTCTTTATCTTTTTTTTATATATATGTATATTATATTATATTTCGGGAGTTATACGTGCAAATCCGAAATCCGGGACCATATAGCTAATTCCCGGTACAATCACAGAAAATCCTGGTCATGCCCATGTGGCTAGAAGTTGACTATGAGTCCACGAAACACATCTGGGTTGTCCGAATTTTCTGTCTCGTCATGTCCGCGAAGTGCTAATTCGAAAGCTCCGCAAAATTTTATGCAATCTATGATTTTAGATAATACATAACGATTTTTCGTTACCTGTTCATTGTGTTTCCGTATATTATCCCAATATGCAGAATCTAACTGACTTCTTATGTTTATTTTACCTAATGACTTAAATTACTTAAATCTTTCACACTGTATATTCATGCTTTATCCCCACCTAAAAGTAAGCATGGAAAACAAAACAGTGTATTTTTTAAATCACACCCGCACATCCACTCTGCTTTTGTTTATACATTATTGTTAAATTGTTTTTTATAACTTTTACTTCGGCTTGTTCCACTAATTTCAATATTTAATTGTGGTGTTGGCCCACCTAATTCCTTTATTTTTAGTTTATCCTCATAAGGCAGAGTTTTTTTTAAACGAAACGCTATTCATTTTAATTACTATGATATCCGTAGACGCCTAAACGAAAATATTCACACGTGCCGCTCGCAGAAATAAACCACCACATACCACGTACGAAATATTACTGCATTTACTGCAGCAGTGGCTGTCGTTGTTGCAGCCACAAAAGCCCATATAAAAGTGTATTGGGTCACGTGCCTGGTTAGCCAATAAAAAACAAAGGAAGCATCTAATCGTTCGCTGTGCACACATTTTGTATATGAGGTTGCATATATTAAGGAGCGTAGCTCGCGTCGTAATAAATAATATAAGCTCCTAGATTTATTTTAGCGCGAGTACATTTGGATTCTTTAAATATTTTGTTGATATTTAATATGATTAAATACATAAAATTTTATGTGTTCTGCAGCTCCGCAGCTCTTATGGTAAAACCGACAGTGCTATTGCCTTTCTATAGAGCCTTTACAGAGATGCAATAGAAAAATCGAATCTTTGTTTTGTTCAAAGGGGTTTAAAAAGAAAGTCTATCAACAACATACATTCAAATAACTGTATAGTGGTGTTCTTTTCAAGAAATAGTAGATATAATTTCAACTATCTGATAAATATTTGATTTTACAAAGTAAATAGGGAAGCTGTAGAAAATTTGATTCTGTTTGTTATGTTATGTATTTTTTTTTCTAGGATCAAAACATTACTTTTTATGCAACATCTAAGATAAGAAAATATCATTAGGCCAAATTGAACCTTTTACTGTTCAGTGGCCTATAGCTAATTTTTTAGTTTCTAAGGAAAGACTAAATGAACATTAGCTTTTTGAGAATTTTTCCAGTACATAATACTGTAATCAGTAGTTAAGATATCTAAAATATCAATATAATAATAATTTTAGGTATATAAATGGTACTAGACTGGATGACAGAATTGTAAGAACGGATTGGGATGCTGGATTTATAGAAGGAAGACAGTATGGCCGAGGAAAAACCGGAGGGCAGGTAATTTTTCTGCTCAATAATAATATATTTTTCTAAATATAAATATTACATTATGAGGCTTTATTAATGAATATTGCAGGTGCGAGATGAATACAGAACGGACTTTGACTCTGGTAGAGGAGGATATGGAAAAATTATACAACAAAAAATTGGTGGCATTGAGACACCAAGTTTTTTAAGATAGATATAATTTCCTGTTTAAGTTTAGGTAAATATTAGTTGTGTATATATATTTTTTTTTATATAAAAACTGTCATTTTTACTTTTGAACTGTAATTAGAAAATAATTGTGAAATAATAAAATATCAAAAATTTTCTCGTAATTAGTTAATTATACGATCAGATTCAGTTTGAGAATAGAAGGAAACATTTTAAACTTATATCTTATCTAAATCTTATATAACAAGTTAATAACATGTTTGTGATAGTTATGAGAGTTCTCTTTGGAAACAATCCTATGAATGAGTCGAGCAAATCAACTCGGATAGGAGACTACTCCTAAAGGAGGCAAGAAATCAATATAGTTAGTTATTCTTTTTCAGTAATTACTATATAATGTTAAATAGAGATATATGAGTGAAAGGAAAAAAGAGAAAAATAAATTCTGTACATAGAGATTCGAAGATAAAAGAGCATTACAGAGATAAAAAGTATAACTAAAAACCACTGTAGCCTTGGATTTACTGCAGCATTTGGTTGTCGTTTTATAACAAAATTGATTTTTTCGACTCATAATATAGAGTTCCAAAGATTTTGGGCCTTCAGGGAGTAGGAGGTTTCCGATACACATCAAGAATTGCAAAGTTACAGGGTTGATTTTGTCTTATGTCTAATGTATTGAATTAGTCAGTTCTCTATACCGTGCTTACACCGTACAACGCTACATAGGGAATTAGCTTCGTTCGAGTTCGTAAATTCGGAAGGGTGGGGAGCGCTGGGTGCTGCAACCTGACTGATGTGATATGTGATCACGTGCGCCACAGCGATGCACGCAGAGATCGACATCCCCACCGCTGAAGCCACACGAGTTTGACCGACGCACCTCCTATGTAGTGTTTTCCCGTGAAAGCACGGTATACACAAACATTGTGAGATAGAAATTTACATTCATGACCTATTAATTAAGCACGTCATTCATTTATCTTTTATGTAAGTGAATGTATCTTGCTGTCTCTGGGCTGTTCTTAGTTTGGATTTAAATTGAATCAGCCATGTGCAAAATTTTAGCTGATTTTTAAGTTTCAGGGATGATTTTCTGGTGGTCGTCTGAAGCTGATGTTACAGTCTTTAAATACATAAATTATGTATTGAGCCTCATGAATATGATGCTTCATCTTGTTTTGTTCAATTTTTAAATTAGGATTTTTTTTGGCATTTTAAAAAGTATTGGAAAGTGATGATGTACAATAATGTATGTATATAGTTGGCGAAGAGATTTGTGCGAGTATTGGTGTGAAGTTTTGAGCATACTCTTATTTGGTAAACTCATTGACGAAGAAGAAATAATTATCATATGTTTATATTGCTATTAACATACTGTATGGAATAATAATAGAAGAAAATAAAAAGTAAAGATGGCGAAACAGTAATAAGTGGTGCCCATGTAGTAATTATATACATAATAAATATGTGAGATTTAGAAACTCAAAATAATGCCTTAAATGCATCATTAATTGTCAAAACTCGACACATATTTAGACAGATTAAAAATGAAAACTGAAAGAGAAACGGAAAATCTAGAGAGAGAAGTGTCGCCTGAATAAAAAAAAAATAAAACGCCTATTTTTTATTATTTTCAAATAATTTGACGCAAAGTAGTAGAACTTTACTTGATTAAAAAACTTGTTTCTACTATTTCACGTCTGTTAACTGCAATACATACTACAGTGGGTGTCCAAATTATTAAGGACAGTACTGTTTCTTATATTTTCTAGTTGTGACTGAATTTTTTTGAACAAACAGTTGGTTCTATGGCTTGTAGCTATTTTTTATTCAAAAGAGTGTATTATTAAGATCATAAAAAACGAGTTACGTGGGAGAAACTATTAATTTTTTTCATCGGGGAAATGAAGTTTTGTCGACCAAAATTTGAAACGCTGATATGTTGGAAAATATTGAGATAATCACAAAAAAATCTTTATTAACACTATTTTAATTAGTTTTTCTCATTCGAATGCAGTCAGCAACAGTCATATTCTAGAGTTATTGGGCCCCTTGCAGCCGCATCTTTGTCATTACCTCCATCGGAGGTGATTTTTGGGTCGACAACGACCAATCAAGTTTTCTTCTGCCAATCACCTTCGGACTGTCATTTGAGAAATTACATTCCTTCATTGTTTATTATAGTAATTCTATACGAAATATCAATAACGTTTTGATAATTTGTAACAGGAAAAACTCACGAAAAACGATCCAGAAATATTTTTTAGCATCTCAATGTAACAAAAATGTTTAACAAATTACCGCCATATGAAGAGTAACCCCACTTATTTGATAAATGATGCAGAATATCAGGTTGCCACTCAACAAAAATATTAATAACAGTACCAGCTGCAATATAAAATAAAACAACCTTGTGAAGACTTTCTTTTTTCAAAAAAAGTAATTGAACTAGAAACTTCATGAATATGAGTAATGTCCCTAATAATTTGGCCACCCACTGTACAATCGAATTTCCTTACTCTAAAGGTGTGCTGTACTTTTACATTCAAAACGTGTTTATTAGCACTTGAAACAAATATTTAGAGTTGTTTCAAAATCTTATGAGCTTTGACCTTGATATGCGCAGAAACATGAGATTTTGAAACTACTCTACTCTCAATGAAGAGATACTAAAGTGAAGAAAACTAATAATGTTTTGGACGAAACTTGATGGAATAATGACATGAGTGTATAAGAATGTTGACAAAATGAAAATGTTTTAAATGTTTTTGATGTCAAAAGTGGTATCAGATTATCGAGAAGACTGATTGTTGTACATGCTGTCACTACTGGATTTTGTTGTAAAAGCTCATTTTGTATTTAGCAATAGATGACTATCATGGTTAAATGAACAAAACGATGGCCTGAATATCTTCCTAATGTTCCTTTTACTAATGTGTCATAATATTGCTCCATATCATTCTATACAAATTAAAAGAAGGCCAACAAAAAAATCCCCAAAAAAAGCAAAAATGGTAATCAAAGCACAACATGGTGGACACAAAATGGATGTTTGTTGCCTTCTTCCTTGTATATGCGAGTTAAAACCAGATAGAACTTGCTTGGGCCGATGTGAAACGTTAGGTGAGAGACATAAATATCATTGGAGAAATGGGCATGCAATAGTCAATAAAATTATTAAGCTATTGTTTCCATTTCTAATCAAAAAATTCCAAAATTATGTCAGGCACGTGATGTAAAATCAGTACTGGGAGAAAGATCGGGGATTGATGGAAAATCCAGTCGATGAAATAATAATCGATTTGGGAGAAACTTCAGATACATATGATGACTTTCATTTACTGTAATTTTTTGATGATGATCAAGATTTAGATGAAATTCTATCTTTCGATGTCAATTTTTAAGAAGGCTTGTCTAGCTATTGAGAATAATATTCCCATAGAAAATACTTATTTTAGGGATAAAGATTTACTTTTTTACTTGTTTTCAATTTACCAAGCTTTTATTACTTTGTTTTTACTTTTTGATAATACATTTTATTATTATTATCTTTATTTTACAAACTTTGTTCTGCATTCACCGTAACAACAAATCATTTACTCGTCATAGTAAAATTCATGCTTACAACACAACGCATGCTGATAGATTAATACCGCAGTTTTCAAGAATCAATATGTCAAAGATGAATAAACCGCAAGTAGACACCTATAATACCTTTGATAATTACTATGCAACTAAAAATGTTACGCAAATGAATTGCAGGGCATTTAACTTACTGGCCAAAAAATTATTAAATGATTAAATGAGAATTGCTTTTATAGCGTGAACGAATTCATGACATATGCGAGTTCTAACTCCTAACAATGATTGCGCAGCATTATCCATCATTTTATTTTATTTTATTCATTCTATTTTGTTCAACTAACTACTGTTTTAACTACTAACAAGCTATGTTATCATATATCTAATTTTATTAATTCCTGTATAGTGACCCATGTACTATAATTGTATCAATGGTCAATAAATGAGTCTGAGTATGAGTATTATTTATTACTTTTGTTATCGTATTTTATATAAAGCGATGATCAAATTTAATTTTTGGAATTTATTTCCCTCTTGCCTGAAAATAGTGTGCCTATGAATCTACCGTGACTCATCTATCTTCCTGCACCAGTTTTATTTCATTGATACCAGATACAATAACAGCAAAATAACAAATTTTTGGCAGCAAGAAATTTTCAGGACTGATTCCTCTAATCAAAACGCACAAAATTAATTGTTTTTCGTAAAATGATCCTTAAGGCCTCTGTCTTTCAAATACGGAAGTGAAATACAGATTTTAACTAGTTACTTAAAAGCCATTGAAGATATAAGTTACAAATTTAGTAGAGTGTAGTTGTTTTATAGTAATTATGTACATTCATGTAAAATTTGAACAAAAACAGAATAGTGACATTACGATGAGGATGGCTCTGATTGTGAGAAATCTCTACTGTCAATAAAAAAAGTTATTCATGCAAAGGATAACTTTCTTTTATATAATTGGATGGAGTATTTCCAATAAAAATGTGTGTGTCGAGTCCAAAAATCATGACAAAGTTAGAAGTTTTTTTAGCAGTGTTGTTAGCATAGGTCAAATTAATAAATTAATGTTGCAGAAATATGCAGTTATTTGAATGAAATGTACATAGTAGAATGTTTTTAACTTTCCATAACAACATCTTAAATTGTTGAAAAATTGGATAAACAATTAACTTTTAACTATGTGACTCATCTGACAGTGATTCTTCTTAATTTTGAAACTTTTCGGAACTATGTAAAACATAAGGTATTGTTATAAATAAAACAAACAGTTTGACTACTTTAGTAGTTTTATTAGCACAACCAAAATTCTACCAAAAAGGTGTACTTTCCATCAGTTATATTATAAGTGTAATGTATGTATATTTTTTAGCTTTAATCTAGGTGACCAATTTTTCTCTTATGAAAAAGCAGGATGATCAAAAACTTTATTCCATATAAAATATTTTTTTTGATGACCAGTATCAATTAGTGTTATAATAGATTTTAAATCATTTCTTAACAAAATTTTCTAAGTACCTACACAATAAAAAGATATGCCACTTAATAAATTAAAAACAAAAAATCAAGTTAATCTTTAAAATATTGAGGGGAATGTTAGGGAAAAAAATCCTAAAATAGGGCATTGTTTATTTATTTTTGGGTGATGAAACCAATTAATGTTGTAAGCATGATTATTGAGAAAACGAACATTTGTAATTACTAACATGTCTAATTGAGCAAGACTTGTAAAATGTGTATATTATATATTATGGAAAAACTTTATCAAAAAAATATTTAGTATAGCAACATATGTAACCACTGATTTTTAAAATATAAAATTTTATCTTGAACCAACTTGAAAGTTGAATTCGGTAATTTATAAATATTTATTTATGTTATTTATTTACAATTTTTAGTATTGCGTTGTAAAGACTGGAAAATACCCCTTGTTGTATACAATAAAGTGTATATGGGGCGTTCCACGCCAAATCGGACGGTTCGAAAAATTTAAATTTTCGATTTCCTTAATTTTTTTATATTTTTTAGTACCCCTCAAAAAAGCCTTTCTGGTAAATTTTCAGATTTTTTTGATTACTTGTTCAAACGGTATAAAATTTTCAAAAAAACGCTCTTTTTTTGGTTTTTTGATCATAACTTTCTTAATAATGGTCCAAATTAAAGCTTTTTTTTATAAAAATATTTGTTTTTAGATGGCCTTTACAGATAAAAATACAAAAGAAATATTCAAAGTGTTTTTGATTAAGATTTTTAAGTTTAAAATTTTAAATCGTGTTTTTGAAAGTGAGTGTATCTTTCGATTTTTGTGAAAATTTTCTATTTCAAACTACTATTCTTTTAACAACTTTTAGGACCGGTCCGGTCGTGGGCCCTCCATAATTACTTTTTTTTTTTTGATTTTTGAAATTTAAAACAAAATTTTTCTCTATAAATCATTATAAGTACCGATTTTTGTATACCCTTTTTTACTTATTTTAAATTAATATTAATACTTTTTAATTATTAATAGGTGTTTAAAATCAATAAGTAAACGTAGTCTATTTATAAACAATGATAACAAACGTTTTTATTTATTTTCGTGTTCTTTTAAAAATTGTTGCAAAATTATTTTATAATTTTTTTTTTGTTGCAAAGTATTTTTTTTTATTTAAATAATAGTATCTTTATGAATTTCTATTCTATTTAAAAAGAGTCGCACATCTTATGATTATTATTGATGTCAAATTTTCACCTGAGAAACACTATTTAGATGCAAAAGAAAAATTAAATTTGCGATACAATATAGGGACCCAAAAATTTCATTCAATCATTCTAAGGAGCAATGGAAATATATTAGGTAAGGAGTATTCTAGTTTACAAAATAATATTTTGTTCCTTGGAATGATTGAATGAAATTTTGGGTTTGTTTGGGTTTGGCTGTATTGTAACGCAAATCTAATATTTTTTGCATCTAAATAGTGTTTCTCAGCTGAAAATTTGACAGCAATATTCATAAGATGTGCGACTCTTTTTAAATTGGATAGAAATTCATAAAGATACTATTATTTAAATAAAAAAAATACTTTGCAACAAAAAATAGCATTGATAAAATAATTTTTAAAAGAACACGAAAATAAATAAACACGTTTGTTATAATTGTTTATAAATAGACAACGTTTAATTATTGATTTTAAACACCTATTAATAATTAAAAAGTATTCAAATTAATTTAAAATAAGTAAAAAGAAAGTAGACAGTGACAAAAATCAGTACTTATGATTTATAGATATATTTTTTTTAATTTTCAAAAATCAAAAAAAAATAGTAATTATGGAGGGCCCATGACCGGACCGGTCCTAAAAGTTGTTAAAAGAATAGTAGTTTGAAATAAAATATTTTCACAAAAATCGAAAGATACACTCACTTTCAAAAATACGATTTAAAATTTCAAACTCAAAAATCTTAATCAAAAACACTTTGAATATTTTTTTTGTATTTTTATCTGTAAAGGCCATCTAAAAACAAAGATTTTTATAAAAAAAAGCTTTAATTTGGACCATTATTAAGAAAGTTATGACCAAAAAACCAAAAAAGAGCGCTTTTTTTGAAAATTTTATAACTTTTGAACAAGTAATCAAAAAAATCTGAAAATTTACCAGAAAGGATTTTTTGAGGGGTACTAAAAAATATAAAAAAATTAAGGAAATCGAAAATTTAAATTTTTCGAACCGTCCGATTTGGCGTGGAATGCCCCATATATATATATATATTACATAACATATGTGCATGTATACTTTTTGTGAAATCTTGCAGTTTAAACAAATCTAATGAACCAAAGGACGGGTGAAGCAGGACGGTGTGCAGTGGTTTGTGCGCAACATACTTTGGTGATTATATATACATAAAGCCTCAATCCCTAATTATTATTACAACATCAGTTAGCTAGTCTTAAACTACAATAAATTAAGAAGCTGTAAAAAGACATCCATTAGTTATTATAAAACTTCTAATAAAGTTAACATACCTTCCAATAAACAATGTTTAAAAATTAGATACATATTAATGTGTCATTGACAATTTATCACTCAAATTTTTGACATTTCGATAATGTTCTTTAAGCTTTATAACATTACATTTATCTAGGTGCTTAAAAGGAATCACATCAGACATTTCAGAGGTGGTACCTAACTATTTAACATAAAATTGAACTAATTCATCCTAAAACTCTACTGAAAAAATAAGGGTAAAATGATCGTCTTTGTGGTCGCGTTAATTGCCTTTGTCGATTTGGCCTTGGCTGTTCTTCAGGTTGTGTTTCTAACGGGTCCTCAGATACATCTGTAAACTCAGAATTGGTGGTAGTAACAGTAAATTCAATTCCACCTGCTAAAGATTTTGGCAAAAACTGCTTTTTGGTAACTGGTAAAGTAATATGTGGTATTTCTTTAACTTTTTCAGGTAATGAATTGTCTACCATTTCACTTTCATTATTTTTTGTAAGATTCATATTTAAAACATCAATTCTTGGATCAATTTCTGCAGTGTACTTGGGAAGTTCATTGTTTTGGCCTTCTGATATTTCTATTTCTTCTGTGATATGTTTAGTTGTGTTTGGTTCAATTTGTCCTTTCGAATTTTCGATGTGTCTTCTTGAAGTTGTAATGAACAAAGTTTCAGTAATGTTATTTTTACTCTTTCCCTGCAATTTTATTTCAATGTGTTCACTTACTGGATTGGATAAGTCATTACTTATTGATAAATCGATCAGTTTTGATCCCAATTTTTTCCCAGTATCTATTTCACTATAATCCTCTGGAATCGGGGGCAATTCTTTTCGAAAAGTCCTGTTCAATTTCAAAGAAGGATCTCTTACAATTGGATACAATTCTACTTCTTTATTAATAATATTTGTGCTTTGATTTTCCTCTATAGGTTTTGGAGATATTGTTGATAAAACCTTGTACATCTTTTTCGAATCTGAAAGTTTGTAAATATCCTTCTTTCGAGATTTTATGTCTTTGATGTGCAATTTGTTATCTATATATTCTTTTATGGAAGTAACTGTTGAAGAAGGGGGCTCTGTTGACTGTATTTTAGATTTTTTAGATTCCGTTTCTTGGGTTGAGGGAAATTCCTGAGATGTTTTCAAGTCTGCGTCTGTGGTGGTATCGTTTAATTCAATAATGTCGAACATGGTACCTAAAAATAAGAGATCAATTTATTAAGTTACGTACATAATTAAATGTGTGAATTCACGATAATATGGCAGTAAATAATAATATAAAACTGTAAGTCCTTTAATGGGGTGTTTGCAAATTTTGTTTTAGTATAAACCACACTAAAAAGATGTTTTCTTCTATACAGGGTGTGTTGCAAGGAAGTGCACAAACTTGGAGATCATTCCTAAAGTAAAAATGAGCAAAAAAGTTTATGGACGCCTTGATCTGGAAATGTATTATTTCCGAGATATAGGCCTTCTTGAAATAGAAAAACTATTTTTTAGTTTTACAAAATTTGAAACAGTTGTGCCGCAACTGCATGGTGTCATACCGTAGGTACTTATTTCTACATCAAGTATACAGGGTGATTCAGGTTTAATCTGGATAACTTCAGGAATAGGTAGGACAGGGTAAAATCATGTTTACTCATGATATAAAATTATTTCCTAAATCGCATCGTTTTGGAGGGTGCTGAAATAGATTTTTTTCCCCGCTTTTACCTCATAACTTTTGAACCACTCATCCGGTTGAGGTGAAATTCGGAACACAAACACTCTTTATGATATTACATAAGCTTCTTATGTTTGAACCACGTACCCTTCTCAGAAGTGTATTTTGTGTGCTACCTCCCTCCTACATTGTTTCAAAACTTCAAAAAATTAATTTCAATAATACAGCTGTACACTACTTTTGTCTCATTAATTTTGAAACTTCTTCGTCTTGGTTTTCTTTTCGATATTTGGCTTTGTTTCTGAGATATTCAATGAAATTCGTGACAGTGTAGCGTCGCAGCCGCGCGCCGCGTAAATTTCATTTAACGTTATAGCAACCTATAAAAAACAAAACTCGCAATGATTTGTATAAACTGACGTTTGTGAAAATCATCGTTATAAGTATTATTTCAAAAATATTTTTATTGTTAAAAATAGGGGAAAAAAATTTATTTCAACGCCCTCTATCTCCGAAACGATGCGATTTGGGAAATAAGTTTATATCATGAATGAACATTATTTTAACCTGTTCTATCGATTCCTGGAGTTATCCAGATTAAACCTGAATCACCCTCTAGCAGAGGCGGACTGGCTAGATGAACAGGCCCGGGAAACATTCATCAAGCGGCCCGTTTTTTGAAAGATTCAGAATTTATTTTATTTTAAATAGGCTCTTCATGAATGATTTATTTGAAATATTTGAAAAAAGGTATCCATAGATAATTTGATATTGTTTTAAAAATAATTAATCTCACAATTTGTTTGTAGACAAAAATTAAAATCTTAAATTAAAATAATTTAGATTTTTTTAAAATGGATAAGTAGTAGTTGGAAGGTATAAGAAGTTAAAGCATTATTCTTTTTAACAAATAAATAATCATTAAAATATATATTTTTTATCAATCGAAAATATTGTGTTGTAGAGCCAAGTATAATCTATTAATTCCAATTTAATATAAAAAGAGATTTTTTAAAAGTGTACTTTTTAAAACTAATTCATTAATTATATCATCTAATGACAAACTATTTAAAATGTCTACATTTAATGCCATTAACATAAAAGTTTTTTCCGAGTCAGCGAACTTCACAAACGATTTTTTAAAAACTTTAAAGTGCTAAACGATCTCTCACAAGCTACTTGTGTAAATGATAGAGATAATACGTATTTATATGCTACTGATGCAAAGAGAAATACGTTTGTCAATAGATTGTATCTATTTAAAATCCTGTAACAACATATGATGCAGTTTTTACATGGGTCATGTTTCTTTTTATTTTTTCCTTTATATTTCTGCTGAGTTTCATCAGTTTCATCTTCTGTGATTTTAGTCCAGACGGTATCTGTTTCAAAAAGCCATATTTGGGTGAATCGTATATCCACGGAGATTTTGGCTTTTTGGCTTTCAAATATCACTAGAAATGAAAATTTTTCTGTGCGCATAAAAAAAACGTGGGCTTAGCTTTTGGCGGCACAATATGTTAAAAAAATTCGAAAAATGTCATATTTTTCTTCCTATTTAATTATGTATCTTTTCAAGAGTTGATTTTAGTTTTTTCCACTGGTGTGCTAAACTTGTTAATTCATCTCTTAGTTTTTGAGGAGTTATTTCTGGTTCATATATGACCCATTTCTCACACAGCTTGTTAAAACCTGGAGCTTTTAAGCCTCGGATCACATCGACATTTCTTATTTTACTGCCCTAGGTGGGTAATATATATACATTTTTTTTTTTATTTCTTTCCAAATTTTTTGCTCAACATTTTTTCCAATTTTTGTTTTTCAATTTTTTTTTCATATTTTCATTTTTTTTTAATTTTTATTTCAAAAATATATTTCATCCTTCTCCAGCGCGGACCGGCCCAAAATGACCGCGGCCCATCGGGAAACCTCCCGAGTTCCCGCATAGCCAATCCGCCTCTGCCCTCAAGGTATACAAAACCATGTAAGTAATTTTGAATTAAATTTACCAGTGTCATATACATGGGATGAAAGGGGGGGTGGGTAGTCAGCCTCTTCCTTAAAACAGAATTTCTACGACCGTAACTTTTTAAAAATAAGTATATTTTGTGAAAATAACATATTTTCGAAAAAAACTCATAATTATTTTGTTACAGTTGGTATAGACAAGTTTTCAAAAAATAAACATTAACAGGTTTATACAAGGAAATATACAGTCTATCCCGAATGTAGGTAATAAATTAAATAAAACTTAAGGAATTTCTTTTTCACAAAATCGCCGACACGTCGAAAGATTTTAATTAAATGCCAAGTTTTGATATGGTTTTCGTGTCTTTTTTGGCATTATTGAAGAAGTTGTGATATCAGTTCCAATTTTTTTAAATGCCAACCCCAACTTTTCTTTTCAGATTCTGAAAGAGAATAATTTTATAAGTATAAAAAACTAAAAAATGATTGGGTTACATATGAAATGTATTGAGAACGAACGAACGAAATAAATACATAACTTTAAATTAAATGTTCAAAATGTGCTCCATTCTTTGCTTGACAATAACATCCAAGGCGATCGATAAACTGTTTTTGCACATTTTGAATTTTTTTTCATAAATTCGATTTTTTGTGTAATGTTTGTTTGTTTTTTAATTCTTATCCTATCATTGGTAGCCTTTATACCATTAAACTGTTGATAGTAGTTTTTACAAATGGAAAAGTTAACTGAACAAGAAAAAATTGAAATACTCTGCGTGGCTGGGTTTGGTGACAGAACGGGCACTCAAGCAAAAGCAGCTCAGTTATTTAATGAAATCTATCCTAATCGTCCTCCCAATTCTCAAACGGTAGTCAGTAGAATTGAAGCAAAATTTAGAGAATTTGGTTCTACTTTCCGTGGAAGAAAATCCACATATTTTCTTGTCATACATTGTCGAAATCTGCTGTTCATCAAATACTTCAAAGGCACAAATATCCATACAAAGTTATTCCAGTACAAGAGTTATATGAAGACGATTTCGATAGACGAAACGAATTTTGTGAACACATGAAAAATTTGTTGAATCGAAATATTAGATAATTAATTTAGTATAGAACATTATTTTTTCCGTTGAAGCTACATTTTCTCTACATGGTATTTTTAATAGACAAAATTGTTGGTACTGGGCAATAGAGAACCCGCACTGGATGATGGAGGCTCATAGTCGTCCATATTTTTTTTGAACAGTCTTTAACTGGACAAAGATATCTTGAATTTCTTCAATTGATTCCCGCATTGGTGATTTTCCCAATCCATTGGAACCAGACTCTCCTGTGTGTAAATTTTTAAATGAAACGTTTCCCAGTCGATAGATAGGAAGGAGATGACTTATCAAATAGCCTGCACGGTCGCCAGACCTAACCCCATTAGATTATTTTTTGTGGGGTTACTTAAAATCAAAAGTGTATGCTGACAGACCAGAAAATTTAAAAACGTTCAAAGAGAAGATCTGAAGTACCTACGTGCTATAACCCCTAAAATGGTTGAAAATGAGCAAATACAGTTTATCGATCGCCTTGAATATTGTCAAGTAGAGAAAGGAGCACATTTTGAACATTTAATTTAAAATATGTTAATTGTTTGAATTTAAAGTTATTTATTTATCGTTCTCAATAAATTTGTTATGTAACTCTATATAGCGTTTTATGCTCAAAAAATTGTCCTCCTTCAGAATCTGAAAATCTGGGGTTGCCGTTTAAAAAAAATTATCACTGACGAGTGACGTCACTACTTCTTCAATAATGTAAAAAAAGACGTATGTCGGCGATTTTGTGAAAAATAAATTCCTTAAGTTTTATTGAATTTATACATTACATTCGGGACACATTGTATATACCCGTATATATTTAAAGATAGTTTAACATTGTGGTATAAAAAAATAAAAATGAAGGTTAGGTTTCAGATGAAATTAGAAAAATAATTTTCAAATAAGAAAATAGGTAGAATTCGTAGCAATTGCTAGCAGGAATTTTAATTGCATTTCTGATAATTTACTCTATTTTTTTATTTTCTACTAAAATAAATAAGACAAAAATAACGCATGGAAAAGGAATATAGCATCTGCTTTTAATCCGATTTTTGTTATGCTGGCAAAATTAGTGGTAAGACCATTAACTGCTTGCAAATGCCCGTCATTACTGAAAAAATCGGCATTTTTTCAGTAATGACGGGCATGAAACCATGCGGTTTCTACGGAAAAATAGAAAGAAACTGTGACGATGATTATAACGCAATCAAATGCAATGTTTATGTATATTCGAACATTTTATAAAATTTTACGTAAATGTAGATATTGTTTCAAAATAGATATTTATAAAAAGTCATAGGCGCCGAAATTACGCTTCAACAGAGGGGTTGACCCCCCATACTTACGACACTGACAATTGAAATGAATTGAATTTATTAGCTTTGTTTCTGCGGCAAATTTCTGATAGTCTGCAAACTTTTAATTACGGATGCGCGCTTGTGGACCACTTCATAACGATTGTGGATTTTGCGCTGCAAGTAAGGTTGGTTAGTTTGGCAGTTCTACATCGAAATTTAAAACAAAGATAACAAACTTAACAACAGAGAGGAAACGAATCTATCAACAGGTATAAAATTTGCATAGCACTTCGCCAGGAATCCTACGCAAATTTATTCAAAATTAATTTAAAAACAGACTATAGAACAAAAGTAAGTATGCGTCTCAGATTGGCAGTTCACATATAAATCTCCAACCAGTATGAACGTTAGCAAACAATTTGATAACAGTTTGAAAATCCCGCAAACATCAAATTCCCAGTCAGAGTTTGCTAATTTGTTGAACGGCAATTTTTTGTGCATGGTCGGGAAAGTTGAAACCGTTGGAGATGGAGACTGGTGTAGAACAAAACGAGCATTTTAATTTTTATCCGGAGAATGTCCCCTTAAAATTTGCGTACCTACTTCTTTTGCAGATCAACCTGTGTAAAATGTTAAGTTACTATTCACTGTTACAATAAAACATTAGAATCATCGTTAAGTAAAAATATATCAATTTACATTCTCTTTTACAAATATTTTTACCTTAATTTCTTTTACAAAAAGATTGGGTTTAAGTGGCATTGAGGATTTGTTTCTCATACAAAGAAAAACTTTTTAAATAAAGTTTTAATTATATACCACTTTACATTTAGCCTTCAGAGAGTTTTAATTCCAATGGAATAATTTAATAGAATTATTTTCAATCACATTGATTATTACGAAATAAAGGAGGGAAGAATATTGAAAATCTTATTGGTATTTAGAGATATTTAAAAAAAAGAGGGCTATAAAAATTTAGATTTTTAATGGTAGGTATATTTATTATATTTGGCCATTTTATGAACTATTGTGGGACTTGATGAGTCCTCTACATATTATGAATATAATATACAGGGTGTCCCGGTACTTAATACAAAAAAGTCGAGTACAAATAGATGAGGTCAAAATAATATCAGTTCTTCATATATATTTTTTTTTCATACGGGCTTTCGTTAAAACTTTACCTCCTCAAAGGTGAAAATTAAATAGTTATTTTTATTTACAGTCTTTAAACTATTAGTTTCAGTATGATCAAATTTGGTGATCGATAACACATTTACAGTTTGTTTATGATGTAAGTGAAAAAGTTCATTATGCCCAGAAGGCCAGGGACATAGCAACCCAGAATTTTTGCATAGATGACGATCGCAATCGGCCTGCATCAAAAATAAGTTCCCTGAAGAATTTGCCAACGATAATACCCTCTTGGTTCAAAATTAATAGTTTAGGAAATATTTGTGATTTTATGTCACAGTGCACATCGACCGGCGACTCCACCATATTTTGTTTTTAATTTTTAATTGGACATAATTACTACGTTAGAACCGTACCTACATATTTTTAAAATAAGAGGTTAGAAAATCTTACGGTCTGCTAATGTAATTTTCATTACCAAAATTTGGCAAACACACTTTACACATAACACAAAATAGAAAAAAAAAACAAGAATAAGTTTAAGTATTCAACTCCAAAAATCGATGTCCATTCAGACGTTTATCAAAAACTTATAGACCTATTAAATTATCACCCACTATTAATGTATGGCTAGAAATAGTGAATTTAATAGCTCCATACGTTTTGAGGAACATCTGAATGGACATCGATATTTGGAGTTTTTGCAAAATAATTTGCAGCCACTATTAGATGATGTTTCATTAGACACTCGAAGAAACGATTAGTTCATGTCCTCCCCATTTCGATATTGATGTTCGAAATTATTTATTCATTGCGTTTAATCGATTGGGAGAGGAGGTTCATGTTCACCACGTTCTCTAAATTTTAACCCGATCGACTTTTTCCTGTAGGGATATCTGAAAAGTTTAGTGTACTCAACCCCAGTACAGACAAGGGATGAATTGCTACAAAGAATTAATTTCCATTGTGATAATATTAGACATACCCCAGAAATGCTTTTTCCTGTACAAAAAAATAACATTCTAGACTTAGGAATTGTGTAGAGGTGGAAGGTATCTATCTTGAAAATGTATTTTGATAGTTTTCTTTCTTTTAAATTATTTTTTTAACTTACTATAACTTATTCTTGTTACTTTTTTCTATTTTGTGTTATGTGTAAAGCGTGTTTCTCAAATTTTGTTAGTGAAAATTACATTAGCAGAAAGTAAGATTTTCTAGTCTCTTATTTTAAAAAATCAAGAAGGCATTATCGTTGGCAAATTTTTCAGGAAACTTATTTTTGACGCAGGCCGATTGAGATCGTCATCTATGCAAAAATTCTAGGTTGCTAACCATTGGACATAGTTCGTCCCTGGCGTTCTGGGCATAATGAAGTTTCACTTACAACATCAAAAACAAGCATCATGCTGAATATGATAGTTTAGAGATTGTAAATACAAATAACTTTTTAATTTTCACCTTTGAGGGGCCGTAACTTGTGAACGAAGGCCCGTATGACAAAAATGTATATGAAGAACTGATATTATTTTGCCCTCATCTATCTGTACTCGACTTTTTTGTATCAAGTACCGGGAGACCCTCTCTCTACTGAGGAAGTTCAAACCCATATGGACCCATATTACTCAGAATATTAATGAACGGGGGAGGGCTGTGTTCTAAATACAGTCTCTTTTTTCTTCGGGCTCACCCTGTAGAGTTATTAGCTTGAAGTTGAGAGTTAAAACTCGATTTTAGTAACTTCTTCGGTTTTCATTAAATTTTAAAAATTGTTGGGTAAAGCTGCTTTATTTCAAGTTATTTCTATTGAGGTATTCAATTTTCCTATAGCTAATAGGTATATGAGCCCGGGATCAAGGTCAAAGTACCCTTGGCAACAAGAATAACCGAAATTAAAATTAGGGCGAGCCTAAGGGTTCTGATACTTCTGACAGCAGGTCCGTCTCCACATAACCTAACCCGAGAACAACAAGGAAAGGCAATGTAAGTCTGTATGTAGGCCACAGCATAATAACCCGAAAAACTATGGTGCTTTACAGGATTATCCAGATGGCGTATGTTTGCTGTATGAATTATTCCCTTAATTTAAAGAATACGTGATAAAATATTGCATTACACTTTTTTGAAATATTTAAAAAATATGTTAAATTTGTAATACTAATACTTTAGAAATGACTATAAATTACCGGTAAACTGCTTTTTATAAAAATACATGTTACCAAATTGCAAAAACAACTGGAACAATCCTAATTGGTTAAGTAATAAATAACATAAACTATCCCATTTACTTTTAAATCATTAGAGTGAAATTTAAAGTTTAACACTCCGTATTTTTTAAACGAAGTGAATTTTAAAAAATAACGTTGCAACTCTGAGATATAAAGTTGGGCATGCCCTCTATATAAAACGTTTAGTTTCTTTTTTGGCACACCCAGTGTTTTTGATTATTATGCTAGGTCAAGGTTGGGTAAAATTGTTACCATAGGAATCTAGAAATTAGAAAGGATAGATTCTAAGAGGATATACCTACCGTTCTCTATTATACTGAATAACTGTCCCTGATTAATTGCACTTGAATATTCTGCACCGGTGTCATCTACATCATGTTCGGTGAATTTAGTTTCCGCAGATGACGTGAGAGTGACTGAGATCATTTCAGCTTGCTCTTCCTGGTGAGTATTAACGTCTTGTGTAGTTAAATTTTCTGGTATTTGGTTAAGCCCTATGGATTTGTCAGGAATTTTAGCTACGCTAGAATCTAATGTCGAATCGCTCTCGAGACTGTTTGTAGTAACCTCCGTGTCATAATTTGTTGCTGGAGTCGTAAAACTTTCCGTCGCTGTAACTTTTTTTTGATAAATCTGTTTTATAGTTGACAAACCGGTGGTGCTTTTAGTAGAAATTGGACTGAGAGTGTCTTCGGTTTCTCGCCTGTGCCTTGTTGGCATGCCATAATCAATATCAACGGTGTTAGAGGTCCAAATCCAGGTTTTTGTTGTTTTTCCGTTGAAAGAATTTTCATCGGAAGACATCTCGTATACCGTGCTGGATGCCAAAGGAGGCTTTGTCGATTTTTCATCAAAGTCCTCATGCGATATTGCACAAGTTAGCTGTTTTAAAATTTCTTCTCTGTCCTGTAAAAGGAAAACTTTGTATGAGACCTTTTACCGACAAAGTTATAATCAAATAGCTTTTGCTTAAAGGTTCGTAAAAAATTGGTTATGCTTTAAAGATAAAAACACATATATACAAAGCGGCCTAAAATAATTTAATCAATCATTTTAGTTCTTACGTTATTTTTTAAAGGTAGTAGGCTGGTCAAATTAATTTTAAAAATCCCCTAAAAGCAATCATATAGACAGTGTCAATATTTCTTGTATGGTAACACATTGACCCACCGAGAAAATATATTTTTCGACGCCCTATGACAAAATTAAAAACAGGCCGTAAAACAATATGACATCTAAAAAGAGGCACTAAATTAAAGGCTAATGCATTATTAAAATTATAATATATTAAAACCTGCATTTTTGTAAACTCGTTCATAAAAATGTTACTTTTTGTCTAGGAGTAGGAGTACCATTTTTTTGGAAATCATTTACGGTACCATTTAATTAAGGAATTGAAAACATGTACATACTCTGTAAAAAAAATTCACACAAATTTCACTCAATTTCACTTAATAATGTATCAATTTCTGTCCACAATCGATTGAGTGAAATATTCACTCTATTAGTATGAGTACAACTTAGTGAAGCTATTGCATCACAAATGAGTGAGTTTTAGTTAAATCCGAGTTACTGCTAACTATCAATTGAGACTTTTGACTCTATTCTGAGTATATAAAACCAATTTAGAGTGAACTTTTTCTCTGATATAATTTAAATTTATTATTGAGTCATTTTTACTCAGACTTGGCTTTTAATTAACTAAATATTGAGTACAAAAATAGATCACTCATAAATGATTAATTAGGATATACAGTGTTCAAATTATAGAAGCAATACGTAAGTGGTGCCATCTCCACGGCGCCATTCAAATTACTCGAATTTAATATACATTTAAATTCGCTCAGTAATGAGGGCATTTACTCTGATTTAGGTACAAGTGCACCAAATATGTGAAGAATTTATTTAAGGAGTTCCTATATTTGAGTGAAAGTACTCAGTTTTAGTTTAAATATAATCACAAATGAGTAAAATGATTAAAATGCCCAATATTGGGTGAAAATATACTCAATAATTTCACTCAATGGATTTACTCCGAATCTTTATTGCTTTCGCTCATACCGATTTTTTACAGTGTATGTATAGCATATCTAACTGATTATCATTTTATGGAAAATTACGGGCAATTTAAAAAAAGGTACAATTTGCTTCAATCTCGGATTGATTGCAGCAATTGCGGGCAGGTAAAAATAAATAATTGTGGGAAATATTCAGTTCATATTTCTTATAAGCGTCATATGCAACCAACTTATAATAAATATTAAACAAAGTCTAAGAGCAACAAAATGTTACTGATAACTTTTCATAAACTTCTTCAGCAGTCTTTTACGCCATTACATATTCTATTGACGTCTAGCAATCATCTAGAAGAGAAGAGAGAGTAGGGCCAGTTTGCAATTTTTTTTTAGACCTTAGACTGCGGTCATTTCATCAAATAACCTATAGTAGGATCGTATTCGATGCAAAGTAAAACAAAAAATTGTCTGTCTTTTGTCAAAGGAAAATCGTATCATTTTTAAGACCCGTAACATGAACTATTTCAAATTTAAAATGAAATTGAATGTAAAGTCTGGTAGTAGCTGTAGTCGCCCAGGTGCATCGAGTGTACGAAGCTCGCTTATACGTCAAATACTATACATGGCGAACTTGGTCGTAAATCAGAGACCGCCTCGAAAAAACAAGTAAACAACAGTGGCGTGTACAGAGATAAAATGTAGTACATATGTGGAATTTAAAAAAACAAATTGGACTTATAATATATTATATTTAAAATAAATAGTTTATAAGAATAAAGAAATTTTTGTATGAACAGGGGTGCCAGATGTGAACTCATCATCTCTTCATAGTGCATAAAGACATTAATCAATTTCTAAACCCCTTCAAACCGTACTGCACTGGATCCCTTGACAGGCAATGATTTATTACTTTGCATCGCATATGATCCTACTACAGTTGGCAAATTCGATCTCATCACAACCAAAGTGTTATTTTCACAGTGTCTCTCTTTACAACACATTGAAGATATATGGCATAATTCGAAAACTTGCCTCCCACATTTTTTCTAAACCCTTTCGTAGTAGAATTAATTCGCAATATTTCACCTCCTTTTCTCTTAACTTTCTTGCCGTTTGAAATACAATTAATTAGAGGAAAATGAGTAATAAAATAGCTGGGGTAAATTGTACTGGATAATTATTTGTTATTAACTGTTTATTGAGTACTAGCGCAGTGTAATGCAATAATAATTGGGGCATATAGCCTATAGAGCATGTAGTTGTTTCCCGCAGTATCAGTAGTTAAAAATCTTGTCTGTGAGGTTGGCTGTATTTTTATACCTCGATTTCTGGTATCGAAGAAGTCAGCAAAACAAATTTTTGCCCTCATTTTTAATTATAATTTCCGTGGAAAAATAACTAAGTTATTATTCCATACCAATAGAAACATATTGCATTGGCACCATGCTCGAATTTTATCAAAAAGTAGGTAGGTACCTTAACATTATTTTAGTTTAATTTCTCACGATCTGCTTGATTTTTTAAAAATAGAAATAATGCATAATAGATAATTACTTTTAGGTATTAAAATTTTATAGTATGTCATAAGTGCACGAAGTAAGTATTACATCAGCCGTTTATTATGGCGATTATACTCCAGTCGATTAGATCATAAAACCTGAACATTTGAAAAAATTATTAGTAGACATTTTATTGCACTTTACGACGGGGAAGTGTAGGTAAGTATAATGAAAAATAGCAAAAAAGTCACTCGAAAGAAGTGACAATACATTGGCAAATTGCAAATAAGTGGCAAAATTACGTTTTTTTTCACTTTTTTACTGCCCATGAAAATCTAGACAACCTATTTTGAACTGAATTTAATATGTTCAAGACAAAAACCTCGCGTGCGACGAGAGCGGCGTTCACACGCATGCGCGGGCTCTGTGCTCCTCCCGCATGCAGGTCATTCATTAGTGTTAAATTTTACAGCTGCTAGCGCGTTTATTACATGAACCATCAATGTAAAAATCTCTCAAAATAAAAGTTTAACCTTTTCTTTAATTGTCTTTAAAATCCCTGTCCGATACGTCCAATAGTTAATTAACAATTAACGTTATAAAAAAGGCGAACACAGAGGGGTAGACGATTTCTCATATTTTTAAATTACCATAAAATAAACTCTATTTAATGCAAAAAGGGCGAAAGCGAATTCTCGTGCGACTTTTGCCTGACCCTGGGACAATTTGTGAATAACGCTGCTTTGCACGTTGTAAAGGGCTACTTAATTTCAACTTTTTGAAATTTTTCTTTTTCGATACGTTTCTTTGGATCAATTTGAACCTATATCTATGATAATAACTTCTAAAATTAACGTTTAGTAATTAAACAGTTGCAAAAAAAAACAAATTAAATTAATTAACAAATAGTTCGAGCAACAATTTCACGGTCAATTGAATCGGCGTTTGGCACACATGCTTTTTGCAATAATAATGCGCCATTTTCGAAATAATTAATATTCCAATAGGTCGTCTAGATTTTCGTGGTAGTAAAGAAAGTAAACAAACACGTAATTTTGCCACTTATTTGATATTTGCCAACTTAGCGTCACTTTTTTCGAGTTTCATTTTGATATTCAGCCGTATTCTGTAACTTGCATTGAAATGCTCAGATTGAGTCGAAATGTTCGTAATTTGTAAAGTTCAATTATTCTCATTCTACATATGCTTCCCCGTCATAAAATGCAAAAAAATGTCTACTAATAATTTTTTCACGTTTAAACTATAATTCGACTGGAGTATTATTTAATTTGTAAATTTTATCCGCTCTGTACCTTTGTCCGGGGTTCACGACCAACCAGCGGTGGGTGTTCTGAGCCTGCGTCACACAGCCCTAGTCTAATTGGTGACGTTATGTAGCAAAACCGTTAGTTCAATCAGTCTACAGTCATCTTTAATACACTTCAACGGTATTGTGCAAAGTGCCGGATCTTATTTTTTATTGAGAGAGTTAAATTTTCTTGCAATAATGAAAGGTATTCTGCAGTGGATAGAACCATATAAACATTTTCTGACAGTTAAAGAACGAGCACTGATATTTTGCACTATGTGCAAATGCAACTTTAAGTGTTCCAGAAGAAGCCAGATTAACCATCATCTAAAAACAGTTAAACATACCGACAATGCCTCTAAACACGTTCCAATAGATCAATCCGACCAACTCGAACAGACAAACGTTGAATGCTGCAGAAATTTATGTGAAGCGTTTACAAGTGCCAACATTCCTTTTAGAAAACTAAACAATTCGAATTTTAGGAACTTTCTGAAAAAATACTGTAAGAGGAATGTTCCGGCAGAGTCTACATTGAGAAAGAATTATCTAGATCCGGTGTTTAAAGAAAAAGTGGATAAAATCAGTAAACAAATTAGTAATAAAAACTTATGGTTTAGTGCCGAGGAGACCATAGATGTTTTGGGCCGATCAGTGATCAATGTCATTTCAGGAGCCCTAAATATTTCTGCTCCAACCAAACCATACTTAATCAGCTGTAAGATGTTGGAAAATGTAAATGCAGCAACTATTAGTACGACTATTGAGGAGGCTTTTCTTAAAATTTTACCAGAACTGAAACCTGAAAATATTTTACTGATGATCTCAGATAATACCGCCCATATGTTACAAGCGGGGCATATTTTGAAGGACATATTTCCAAATTTAATTCATTTAACGTCGTTAACGCATGCCCTCCACGAAATATGTGAATATGTACGCGAGGAATATGAATACATCGATAAATTTGTAAATGAAATGAGAAATATTTTTATTAAAAGTGCTTCACGAATATCTTTTTACAAGGAACGGTGTCCGCATCTTCCATTGCCTCCACAACCGACAGCAACAAGATGGGCAACG